CTCAGGCTCATGGGATCGAGGCCCGCATCAGGCTCTCTGCTCAGCGGGGAGCCTGCTTTCTCCTCTCTCTCTCTATGCCTGCCTCTCTGCATACTTGTGATCTCTCTCTCTGTTTCAAATAAATAAAATCTTTTAAAAATAATAATAATAATAATTTCATAAGTTACTATGACTTGAAGCTGTAGTTTATTGTGTATTTAAGGTATGTGATTGATATATTCACATTAGGCCGAGGAAAGACACAAAATTCGTGCTTTCAAATAAATTACAAGGAATTGTTCTATCATGAATTTCTGTCAGAACTCTTCAGACTAAAACTGACTGAGGCAAGGTCTTGTTCATCAGATAAGTTGATGTGTATAAAGCATCTGGCAAGGTACTTGGCACATGGCACATACTTGGAAATTACCAGTTATTGTCAGACTATATTATAGTCTAATCTATCAGCTAAAGATGATGCACCTTGAATTTCTGTAACATCTTGCCTTTTATCTTCTTTAGGAAGGGTGTAATATATACACTTACACTTCTTGTATGTTCAGTATAACTTTAAGCCAAGAAAATTGAAATTCCCGTGAAGTAGTAACTTCTCTAGGGTGGCACGCATTTGAGAATTCAACTCTGGTTTCAGCTTGCCTTCAAAACCCATACTGTTTGCCTTTAACGGGTGGGGTTAGAGGGGTAGGGAGAAGGGGGTAGAGTATACCTTTTGTCTTGTGTTTTAACATGTGTTGTTACCTTCTTCCTTTGCGAGGTTCTGAGCTTCTTGAAGGTGGCGATTGGACCTCACTTACCTTTGTTTCAAGGTTTTAAGGGCTCCGCAGATTACTGTGTTCACTTACTGGATGTTGAGTGAATGAAATAAGTGAATATGATACAATTTTCTTCTCTTAGAAATGCTGAAACTATAAGCAGTTTTTTGTTTTTTTTTTTAAAGATAATATTACATTGCTGTCTCTAGAGCAAGTCTGGACTATTTCTGACCTCTGAGAGGATACATTTACTTATCATTTGTATTCTGTTAACTTCCCAAAAGAATTTGTGTCTGGAGTACTGAGCACGTGTACTGTTTGTTGGCCCTCTTAAGCACCAAGACCTAACATTTATTTTGAGCTCGCTGGTTTGAAAAGTGACCTGAATGCTAGAACATGGGGATGGGGATTTGAGCCATCATAGCCGTGTTCTCTCCTTTATTGTCATTTTAATAAGAAACTTGTATAAGACAAGTACATACTTTTTTTTTTTTTTTTAAATATTACAGATGATGAAATCCAGTGTTAAGTCAAGAAAATGCTTATAACTACAAGGAGTAAATGCAGAAGTCAAGTCTTGATCCCAGTTTTGTCCAGTTCCAAAGCCCATGGTCTTTTCATATTCTTTTTTTTTTTTTTTTTTTTGTAGTTGGTAGACTGCCCTTCTAGTTTCTAAACTTAAGGCGTTTCCAAGTAATGTGAAGTCATGGTTTTTATATTTTATATCTGGAAATAAAATTTACATAGCTAAGTGAAAATGGGATTCTAAATGATTTCATTTTAAAAGTCAGATGTTAAACTTCATATATGCTTATCTTAGAGGTAGATTCTTTTGCAATTTAGAATCAGTTCCACAAATATGTGCAGGCTGCTCAAATGGCGTAGATGTCTGTTCAGCATATCTTCTTATTCTGAACTTCAACACGCCTGGAGGGCAAATTCCTTTCATTTGTCCTTGTTCCTGAGGTCCCTAGCCCAGTGCCTAGTACTTAAGTACTTAATAAATGTTTATGGAATTGTATGGACTTAATAATTTGAAGGTTGACTGACATGAAGAATTTTCTTTCCTTTAAATCAGGCATTATTAAATAAGAGACCCTATTCCTCTATGTGTCCCCCTTCTGCATTTTATTTTCTTGTCAGCTAGGTATTTTCATTCTGGTTTATCACCACCCTTCCCAACACACACACACACACACACACACACACACACACACACACACAATGTTCTTTTTGAAAGAATCTGGCGTGGGAGTTGGGGAATATATAATAATAAGGCAGACACAGTGATGCCTACACGGAGTTTATCCGTATAAGAAATGATTATGGCATTCTTCTGGTTGATTTTCATCAGATTTGGAGGATGTTCTTGTCTAATTTAAAATATAGATTGTATGGTATATATGAAATTAACCTTGGTTGGCCCTGGAAGGAACCCTCAGAGTGTTCTAGAATATTTTATACTAGCATGCAATAAGAGGCCCATGTAGTTGCTAATCTGTGGAAACACACCATATATATTAAGGCTTCGTGATGAGAGAAGATAATACTTTTGTGTAAAACCCAGATTGGCAGTCAGGTTGTATTTAAAGTGTTGGTTTGCAGTTAGTTACTTTTCATGTGAGCAGATTTACATGATATGCTTCCGTTACTGGATTTGCTGATTTAAATACGGTTAATGATTTTCCAGGATGTGGCCTTTGAGGACGGATTAGTGTTTCTGATGCGTAGAAGAGGCATAGCCACCATAGTGTATCCTTTTCTCCTGCTGCCCAAGAGCTCTTTGACTTTATTCTTGGGAAAGGAGGCTTATTGTTTCATAATATCAGGCATTTTGGGGGAGTTGTTGCTCCTGGTAGTAGCGAGAGCTATTTAAAGCCCGAGGGTTAGTGTAACATTGGGAAATCTGCATAGACAGAGGAACAGCTACAGTCACAGCCATTGCTTAAGTTTATTCTGTTGCAAAGAAGGAAGTAAAATTGGCACAGGTCTGCCTTGTGGGACCAACCTCTCTGCATGGTGGTCATTTCAGAGTCTATGAAATGGAAACCGAGTGTTCTCTTTTTAAGTCACTGACACAGGACTTCAGACTTCCTAGTTGATTAAGAGAAAAGGTGGTTTCATCTTTCATTTGGGAAGCTGTATCAGCAATGTTTGCAGTTGGTCTCAAAGCAATTGCATTGAACTTTTTAGGTATTTTTAACCACTTAATTTCTCACCTTTTAGCAGTTAATAGATAAGCTAAAATGAGTTAGTGTAGTCATTTACATGAGTAAGATGGAAGTGCTGTCTGAGTGACTATGATGGAAAGTTTCCTGGAGGGATTAGTTAAGTGAAGTGTTTAGAAATGTAAGCTTGCGAGCTGCCTGTTAGAGGTGGGAAACTGGAGTTGGAGCTGCAAGATGGCTCAGGTGGCCTAAAGCTTGTATAGAAAGGTAAAGCCAACCATGGGAAATCAGAAAAGGTCTGGCTAAAGAGGATAGTATGAACTAAGAACTAGCATATGAGAATTGACAAGTAAGACGGTGATAGTAGAATTAAACAGTTTTATATTCCTGTTTTGTTTTGTTTGTTTGTTTGTTTAATTTTATTTGACAGACAGAAATCACAAGTAGGCAGAGAGGCAGGCAGAGGGAGGAGAGGGGAAGCAGGCTCCCTGCTAAGCAGAGAGCCCAGTGGACCCTGCGATCATGACCTGAGCTGAAGACAGAAGCTTTAACCCACTGAGCCACCCAGGTGCCCCTATTCCTGTTGTTGTTATGGCTCTAAGTCCAAATTCCTTTCAGGGTTTTCTCTTTGTAGTACCCCTGCCCCTCCACCCCAAACATACACATATACATACACAGGAAGGCAGATTAGAGGAAGCAGCAGGAAAGTGACAAAACAGCACAGGAGAAAGAAAACTGAATGAAGAATGAGGAGACCTGGTTTTGGCATCTGACTTCAATAAGTTGCTTAAGAGCCAGCTGATTAAATTGGGATTAATTGGAAATTTCATCAGCTAAAAGACAGCTTTTGTTTCGGTTTTTCTGCCATAAATCTTTGGGAAGCCTACAAATTGGGTTTTAGAATACTAATGGTCTCTTTCTCTAACTGTATATCCCTGATAATTTTGAACAAACTCAGGGAAAGTCAAGTTGTAGAAAATTGAACATTCATATTGTTTTCTTGAGTTTGGCTCGGCTCTAGTGAGTAATCTGTTTGGTGGAAGTCTGTTCTGTAAGAATGGGAAATAAGGCAACTGAAACGAATGTATATTGATTTACTAACTCACTGTGTTGGAATATGAGGAGACTAGCCAAGTAAAAAGAAGTAGTAGGATCCATAAAGAATAGGTTAGAATACAGATACCTGGACCCCATTCTAAATATATTTCTGGTGATAGAGCTCAGAAGTGTTTTTTGGGGAGGTAGGTGGGGTTTAACCCCCAAAATGAGTGACTCTAATTAAAAGCCAGGTTTGGAATTCACAGACTTAATCTTACTCATGGGCACCTCTAAGAACTATCATTATTTTAGAGGAGTGTCAAAACTGAGATAGCCTTTCTTAAGCTGTAGCAGTGGACTGGTAAATTTCTTAATCCCAGAACAGTAGATCCATTAGATAATTACAGTAATTAGAATTACAAGGGACATTAGAGATAATCTAATACAGAGGCCAACAAACTATGGTCCATGGACCAGATCTGGTCCTCTACCTGTGTTTTATAAATAAAGCTTTATTGGAACACAGCCAAACTCATTCGTTTATTCATCTCTGTCTGCCTTTGTACTACAGTAGCAGAGTTTTGTAATTGCAGCAGAGACAGTATGGCCCACAAAGCCTAAAATATTTCCTGTCCCTTTACTGACAGTGTGCCGAATTTTGAGTAGATCAGATCTGTCATTCTATATATGTAGAGATAAGATTCAAAGACAATAACTGAAACATTCGGAGATGATGTAACTAATTGGCAGAGTGCAGATACGGTTTAGTCCCCTGTTTTCCTGCTTTCAGTCCATTATTTTTTGTTGGACAGAAAATACATTGTGGTACAGAGTTTTGTTTGTAGGTTCATTATTAATTATATTATGAAACACAGTTACTATGAATAGTAGGCCAGGTCTTAGATAACATGGCTATACAGAAACCTTTTAGATTTGGGTCAGGGTAGAATTTGATTGTAGTATATTCTGTTTCCTGAGTATAAATCTTTGGTTTGACCTATCAAGTAGTTTGATAACAAAATTCTTTCTGTTGCCTGTGCAGCCTAATGGACGGACTGTTGAAGTGGCTGACGAGGAAGTTGTCCGAACTCCTCGAAGTATTACAACAAAGCAGCCCTTAGAGACAGATAAGAAAAATGAAAAGGTAAGCTTGGGAACATATGAAACTATATGCAAAGCTCTTAATAAAGAGAGTAATATATAAAAATTATGATTTTCTGTTTCACAAAAGTGTACATATACTCCCCATTTAAGGACAACTGAAAATCTGAATTTGTCATAGCAGATAGGTGGTGCAGGTCTAAGTAAGTTGTTTTATTTTTTTACTTTTAAAAGGAAGGATATCACCAAGTATTTTAAACATGCTGTGGCATTATTAAATTCATTTTGCCAAAATAATTTACTCATGAGTTGAACATCTTTTATGAGTAAGATTCCAGGTATGTAACATCCCTCTTATTTGAAAACCGAATTGTGTTATCTTTGTTAACAGTGCACTTCTAACATGAAGAGCTTACCAAAATGTTCTGTGGTGTTAAGGGTTGAAACAAATTTCTGTTCTGATGGAGATATAATTCTTATTAGGCAGTTTGACTTTGTTTAACAAAAGAGAATGTTCTATATTCATTGTTATTATAATTATTAAAAGGTTTAGATGTGCACTCTTAAGTTTTCAAATAAGACAACCTATCATACCCCATAAATGGTACATTCCTGGGATTTTATTCAGTTTTCAGTTTTCAGTTAGAACTGACCCAGTTTTTATTTGACTCAGTTTAGTTTGCAAGTAGGCAAAATGTAAAAAACTGTTAACAGTGGGTTGTTCTGCTATGGGAGAGGAACTTTGGTTTAAGTCCTTTTGGTATATTAATTACTTGCCCACCCCCTTCCCCTTTTAAAACCCTACACATGCATAACTCCTTTTCAAGAAAAGACAAAACAAAAAATAACCAGAGGTAGGTAAATGGTTTCTAGGAATTAGCATGCAACATTCCAGTCCTCCAGAATAGTAGTATGAAATGGTTGCTACAGTTTCTTAATGCTTGTAGTTTCAAAATGTCTAAAAAACTGGCAAGATCAATTCTCCCCTTTAACCCAATACAATTGGTCTAGGGCCACGCTAGCTGCAGGTAGGATGACTTAAAATGAAGGATAGTTATAGAAAAGAGTTAAATTTATGCCTGATTTTGCCTTTGGCCGAAAAATAAATAGTTTAAGTGACTTATATTAGCAAATAAGGATATAATTTCAGGATTGTGAATTTACAGAATGAGTAGTTCATATGTCTAATATGGATTTATACTTCTTCCATCTAAAGTTTCTTTATTTCTGGGTTTTCTCTCTACTACATTTTATGCTTGTTCTTGCTTCTAGTTCCTGAATTATCCTGAAAAATTTATAGTTAGGATGATAGATGAACTATCATCCATTTCTGATTGATGAATCAAATATAGACTGGGTGTATGAGGATGTAAAAGTACAGTTTAGAGTTTATAATCATTCTGAAATTAGTGATAGAAAATAATTATAGTAATGGATGTTTGTTAAGTATCTTTAATATGGCAGGCACTATGCAAGGTGAGGTATGTGTGTGAGTATATTTACATGTATCTAGTAGAGACAAGTTACTGAGTAACCACTGGGTATACTTTTAAGACTTACAGAAAATTTATATGCTACTTTATGCTCACAAGAGCACTGAGGAGGTGGTATTATACCTATCTTACAAATAAGAAACCTGAGGTATAACTTACCAAAGCTACTAAAAATAGTTCTATCCTCCACCCATCTGACTTCAAAGTCTGTGCTTTTTACTGCTCTGTATGATTTCTGATCCTTTCATAAACTCTGCAAGGCTGATAAGGCCTCTGAGGTATAGAGGGATTTTACAATTTCACTCATTTCGTAGTTTGTGAAGTAGGATTTGAATCCAACTCATTCTGGTGCCAAAGCCCGTGCACTTGTGAATCACTTGATGGTACTGCCTCCTTTCAGTTGCTGTTGCTTTTTTCAGGACAGAGCTTCTGCCTTTGGTTTGCTGCCTTTTTGATTTGACTTTTTGCATAGTAGTAAATGCTGCAACTCATGGCTAGTGTTTCTTTTTGCCATCTGCATCTTGGAATTTATGCTTTTTAACTTGTTTCAGTCCAAGAGACCTCATTTCAGTTAATTTTTTATGCTCTTGCACTGTGTATGTTTTTGTGTGTTTTAAATATATTTTTTAAGACTTTCTATTTTTTTGTAAGAGACTTGTAGATCTATTTATAAACCTTTATACACATTGTTGTATATTTGTTTTCCTCTCAGAGCCATATCTTGGGCAATTTGAGAGGTACAGTTTACCTGTAGAATAATTGCCCTCTCAGCTGTGATATTGAATATCTTGCCCTGTCACTTGAGTAAACCTCACAGAGAAAAACATTGCTAAAAACCATATATGACAAGAGTTACAGACCTTGGGTCTATAAAGCAAGTTAAAGTACAATAGTTTTCTAGGTCTTTATTCGGCTGTGAAAGTCAGTGCTTCATTGATACTGGTCGCTAGCAGAATCCATATAGGACCATTAGCTAGGCTGAATGCATTGTGCTACTAGATGCTGAAGGGAATAAGAAGAATGAAGATGTACTTACCCCTCAGAGAGATTGCAGTCTAGTTAGGAAATGCAAGCACAAGAGAAGATAGCAGAAAACAAGTCTCTGAGTGCTAGATATTCAGAGGAATAAGATTATACTATTTGGGAGGCGGCTAGAAAAGATTGACTTAATAGGACTTTCGAGGTTGGGGGTGGTATTTCAGTAACTGGAAGTGAGGAGGCCTTTTCTGGCCGGTGAGAGGAACAAATGAACACAATCACACACTTCAGCTGGAGCAAAAGAACATATTCAGACATACTCAACGGAAAGCCCTAGACAAGTTTGACTGGTCAGGATGGCTGGGGGTATGATAAAAATAGATGTGTTCAGCTGGCAGCAGCATTTGTGAAAACAAATCAGGCTTGCATCAGTGATTATGAGGGTCTGAATTAAGATAGAAGGTTAAAGATTGTCAGTAAGAGAGACAATACAAACAAAAATGTGTGAAATTTGGTCACCGTCAGGTTGTTCAGGACAAAGTCAGTCGGGTCCTGCTGAAATAGTAGTGTCACTCATTATAAGTAATAATAAGCTCTTGCATTTTATGATGCTACAATAATACAAATATTTGCACATCTCTTAACCCTGTTGAATAACTCTTGGTTGGGGATGGAGGAGAATATAATCATTTCTTCAAATCCGGCTCATTAAAGAGTTCAGTGGATTGCCCAGCAATACATAAACATATGTATATTACATATGTATATTACAATGCATAAACAATGATCCCTCAATTTTGTGCAGGCAACATTTCTCAAAGTATGGTTTATGGACCCCTGGGTATCAGAGACCTTTTGTTGGGTCCTGGAAGACAAAACTGTTTTCATAGTAATAGAGACATTATTTGCCTTTTTTGCTGTGTTGAATTTGCATTAATGGTACAAAAACAACAGCAGGTATTGCTAGCACAAATCATGACGGTGACACCAAACCACTAGTAGCTGTATTCTTTATTGCAATCCACTCACAATTAAAAAGAAAAAGAGGGGCGCCCGGGTGGCTCAGTGGGTTGGGGCCTCTGCTTTCGGCTCGGGTCGTGATCCCAGGGTCCTGGGATCGAGCCCCGCGTCAGGCTCTCTGCTCAGCGGGGAGCCTGCTTTCCTTCCTCTCTCTCTGCCTGCCTCTTTGCCTACTTGTGATCTCTGTCTGTCAAATAAATTAAAAAAAAAAAATTTTTTTTTTTAAAGAAAAAGAATGCTAGTTTCACTTAAGAGTATCCTTAAGCTGTAAAAATGATCATTATTAGTTTTATTAAATCTTGACTTTTGCACACATGCTTTTTAATTATTTTATATGATGAAATGAGAAGTATACATACAGTGTGCCGTGTAGTGAAGAACAAGGGTTGTCCTGAGGAAAAACACGCATACAGTTGAGCTGCAATCTGGACTAGTCACTTCATCCATTTTAACTTGAAGGAAGAGCTGATAGAGAGGCCATGGTGATTTAGACTTGGGTATTGGCAGACATTTTCTCAAAAACAGTCAAGATGATCCTGTCACTTCAAGGAAAACTACATTTATTATTTATTGCAAATGACACAATGATTTATTTCCAAGTGAAAATTAGAAATTTGGAAAAGTTGTATCTGTCACCATGAGCTTGACAGCATCCCAGTGCCTAAAGACTTTCTGATGAGATCAGTTGTGATGTTAACAAATGTGATTTTTAAAAATACTGTATATAATGGAATATTTTAACATTTTAGAAGATGTGTGAACCCGTATTTTCCAAATGACCAACGTTTGCATGTTACAAAGCAAGTGTAAAAAAATTCATTCAAAGTGCAAGATAGACCAATAGAGTATGGGAAAGCTCATTGATACAGATTTCATGTTGCAACAGTTTTTAAGAAACTACCACCTGAGAAGTTTTGGCGTAACATTTTTTCCTTCCTCTGCTTCAAGCTCCTCACCATTGCTCTTACTCCACAGCCTTGAACATGACCTAAAAGGCCCTCCCCATCTCTCATCCTACTCCTGAGCCTCCCTAAGCCCACACACGTTGGTTTTTTGTTTCTTTTTTGTTAAACAGCTTTATTCTGGATATACCGTAAAATTTATTTTTTTTTTTTTAAAGATTTTATTTATTTATTTTGACAGACAGAGATCACAAGTAGGCAGAGAGGCAGAGAGAGAGAGAGAGAGAGGGGAGGAAGCAGGCTCCCTGCTGAGCAGAGAGCCCGATGCGGGGCTCGATCCCAGGACCCTGGAATCATGACCTGAGCCGAAGGCAGAGGCTTTAACCCACTGAGCCACCCAGGCGCCCAAAATTTATTTTTTTGAAAGTGTAAGATTTCAGTGTTTCTGCAGAGTTGTACAGCTCTCACCATGTAGTTTTTGAACTTCTTCCTCTTCCCGAAAAGAAATCTTCTGCTCATTACCAGTCATGCCTCATTTTCCCCTCTTTTCCCCTTAGCTCCAGCCCCTGTCGACCACAGATCTTTGGTGTAATAGCAAAGAAGAATGCAATTATCTGAAAAAACTCTGAAGACTTCTTTTTCCAATTACA